ACATAAACACTCGCTAGTACAAATCAACTTTTGAGACTGGCTTCTTTCATGGCCAAACGTACAGCAACGCCAGTCTTGTACGCGTTAATAAAAAGTAACCGATTACATTTACAATTGCTCTATAGAAAAATTTAACGAATCCCACTAGTCATTTACTGCATCACAATAGTAATTGAAAATTACCAGACAGTAATTAATTACTTTTTACTTTACTTTATAACTTTTAGAGCGCAGCTCTAAGCGCCCGTTTCCGCGTTGAGCGACGTCGCCCTCGGCGTCGGCGTAACCGCGGTACGTCACACGTGACGTTACGTGTGAGGTCACGAGGGCCATTAGTGACGTTACGAGGGTGACGATTGATGTCGCGAGGGTGACCAGTGACGTCACGAGGGCGCCGAATGACGTCACAAGGGTCACCAGTGACGTCGCGAGGGTCAAGTGACGTCACGAATGTCGCCAGTGAGTAACGTTACTAGATTACCTCAGTTGTGGAACTTCCGCGGAAGGAGGTACCGCCCCTCACTTACTTCAATCCGCCAAGTCAAGCGTCGTTCGAAGCGCCGTCTATATTTTCGTTTCATAACTATGCGTTCCAAAGCGTGGCCTCCGAGATCCCGAAGCGCGCGCCGTGTCCAAAGAACCCAGCTGAAGCGCCTAAAGGCAATCACAACGCCGCCATTAATCCTGCAGCGATCGCTCGCGAAACTGCACATAACAACCATTTTGGCTTCAATCGGCCATTTCGGAGCCGAAACAGATACAGTGGAAAGAGGTACAGGGAAGCCACCCCCGTCTCCCTAGCGGACGCGCCGCGAATTTGCCTCGAAGTTAGAGATAAGCCTAGGTCGGGACACGCTACCTCAAATCCCCGCTGAGGCATGGTTGTATTAAAACAGCATAATTGTACCGCGAAAACCTTGGAAACTAAAGATTTTAGAAAACATCACGCGCCCCTCTTTTTGTACTAAACTCCAATAAAAGTTACTATCAAAAGAGTTTTTTTCTGTTGTTTGTTTACGTTTCTAGTAGGTTGAAACGTAGGTATCCTGATTCAGTTACCAAACCAGCCGTCTGGCGGCGCGTCGAGCGACGCTTGGTGAGTCGTGGTGAGTGAGGGGGGTACTGTTCGTGCACGCGGCGTCTATGAGCAGTTCCGTAACTAAGGTAATCTAATAACGTTGCCAGTGACGGCACGAGGGTCACGAGTCAAGTCACTTTCCCCTCCTCCTCCTTAAGAGCTGCGCTTTAATTCGGCATTACAGAGAATAGTAAACGTCTTGCATTTTTTATTATGAAATCAAAAATGCGAACATACTTTCACAGTGGTTACATTTTCTTTATTTTTGCCGTTCACACCTTTTTAAGCTTCAACAGCAGTTGTCGTTCGCAATTTTCTTCAGTCATCTTCCCACAATTCCTGTTGAAGATGTCTGTTGCGACACTGAAACCCTGTCAACGCATGTGCTTGAGTGAAGATTGGTGGAAAACCTCTTTATTGGTCCTGCGAAAACCCCTACCCCTCCGTCACCCCTTCACCAACACACCTACGCACAGTCTGCCGGTGAAGCAAGCGCCGGGTTCGCTGGATGAAACCCCTTTGTCCCTCCAAGTCCACACACATCACACCATCCTTGAAGTCCTCCGGCCAGTCCTGGGTCCCCGATGCCTTATGCCCCCGTTGTTCACAGTCCCACACAATATGCTGCAGCGTTGCCCGACTGTCCTTACATACCCTGCACAAGTCACTCTCAAAATTCCCTGGGTCCACATGTCTCCCCAACACCGGGGTATACACACACATCACCTGCAACTGCCTAAAAAGCACCGCATCCTCCCGACACAAATCCTTGTGAGGTTCCGGGAACCTCCTCCTATCCCGTCTGCAACATTCAAGATACTCTCCATAACCCACCGGCACATACGACTCCTCCTGCGAAGCCCGGCCTAAGAGTCCTCGGGCGCAGCAGTCGGCCATATCATTCCCCACCTCATGTGCAGGGCTCCATATTAGTTCCACTTGTCCCTTCACACTGATCAACCTCTTAGCCCTCTCACTCACCGTTCCATTCATGAAGCGCCTGACAACCCCCATTGCATCACTAAATACCTTCCTTACACCCTCGATAGAAATTGCCATTGCAACCGCCACCTCCTCAACTTCTTCCGCACTGTCACATCTCAATCCCGACGCTGTAACCACCCTACCATCTTTACCCGTCACAACCACAGCCACCCCCCGGTCCCCATCAAAAGCTCCGTCCACATAACACTACCCTCCTCCTTCCCATACAGCCTATACAGCGCCTGCGCCCTTGCCTGCCTACGCCCTTATCCCGTTCCGGATGCATGTGCCTCGGCACCGGCCTAACCCTCAACCTCCTCATGTCCTCATCCTTAATCCTTTCCAATCCCCCCCTGCCAGCCTCAGCACCCACCCCCACCCTGCTCAACACCCTACGCCCCACCGCAGACCCCCTCAACCTCTCCGTCTGCGAGATCCTCTGCGCTTCTATCACCTCTTCCAATGTATTATGCACAGCCAATCGCTCCATCATCTCCGTGCTAGTACATGCCAGCAACCCAATCGCCGCCTTATATATCCTACGTATCAGAACATTAATCTTCCCTTTCTCCGTCACCCCCCACTTCAGATACCCAGCCACATACGCGATGTGGCTCATCCCAAAAGCCTGCACCAGCCTCAAAACACTCTCCTCCTTCATACCCTTCCTCCTACTAGCCACCCTCCTAACCATCTGCATCGCTGCCCCGACCTTCCTTTGCAACTTATCCAACATCACGCCATTACCCCTAGCCTCCTGTAACCACAGTCCCAACACTCTCAGCTCCTTAACTCTAGGTATCATTCCCCCATTCGCCCTCAACTCCACATCCTGCCATCTCCTACTCCTCGGCCCCACCACAACATACGCCGACTTCTCATGACTGCACTCCAACCCTGTACCCGCCAACTCTTCCTCAATAGCATCAATCCCTCGTTGCAACGTATCTCTAGTCTCCTCCACGCCCTTACCAACACACCACAACGTCAAGTCATCAGCATAAATGGAGTGACCGATCCCTTCTCTCGTTAACCTCTTCCCCACCTTTGCCATGACCAAATTAAACAACATCGGCGAGATAACCGCGCCTTGCGGCGTACCTAAACATCCCAACCCCCTCTTCCCAACCTCGTACTCCCCAGCAACCAATTCCGCGCTCCTCCCAGTCAAGAAGCTCCTCACATACTCATAGCTCCTCTTCCCCAACCCCAACTCCGACATTCTTTCTAATATGGCCGAATGCTGCACCCTATCAAAGGCACTCTTGAGATCCAATCCCAACACAACCCCCACTTTCCTCGACTGCACAACCTCATGCTTAAGTAACAACATTGCATCCTGTGCACACAACCCCTCCCTAAATCCGAACATAGTATCACTAAACACCCCCCTCCCTTCCAGAAAATTATTCCACCTTCGTAATACCACGTGCTCCAAAACCTTACCAACACACGACGTAAGCGAAATCGGTCTCAAATTCTGCACCCCCACCGGTTTATTCGGCTTAGCCAACAACACCATCCTAGCCGTTTTCCATTCTTCAGGCACCTCCCCGCTCTCCCAACACCTATTAAACAGCCCCGTGAGCACCTCAACAGCTTCTTCCCCCAAGTTACGCAGCATATTGTTACTAACCCCATCCGGCCCTGACGCAGACCTCGTTTTCACCCTCTGCAACGCCGCCCTCACTTCCCACGTCTCCACAGCCCTATCCAGATCCTCATTCACCTCCCCCTTATAGCCCGGAAAATTCACTCCCCCCACCCTAGGAAGATACTTGTCCATCAGAGCCCTCCTAAACCCCTCCTCCCCCAATTCCTTCCTAGCTCCATACAGAGCCTAACCTAACCTTCCCCTTTGATAACTGCGAGTCCGCGTCCCATCCAATAAATGCCTTAACAACCTCCATGTTTCCCCCATCTGCAACCTACCTCCCGCCCTTACGCACACATCGTCCCACTGCTGCCTCGCCAGTTCTCCACTGTACCTTGCAATTTCTCTATTCATCTCCGCTACCCTCTTCCGCAACCTCCTATTACCCCTATGTTCCCTCCACCTGCGATACAACGCCTCCTTCGCCTCCATCAAACCTACCTACCTGCTATCCAATTCCCCCTCCAACTCTGCATCCACCTCCACCTCTCTACTCGCTTCCCTCGCCGCTTTTACAACTGCCTCAGACCACCCCTTCACATCGACAACCCCCCCCCATATCACCACCCCTCCTAAAGGCGCCCCAATCCACCACCTTATGCCTCCTCTTCCCCTTTCTTCTGCCCTCCAAATGTACCAAAACCTCTACTACCCTGTGATCACTGCCCAAATCCATGCCCGTATTTCTCCACTCCACATCTACCCCCCTAACAAAAGCCAAATCCGGCATCGTCTCTATCTGCACCGCCGTCTTAGCCATCAACGTGGGATGCCGAGAATCCGACAGCAAAATCAAGCCTACATCCTCTGAGTCCCTCAACAAATTCCTCCCCTTAGCCGTGTTGTCCACATACCCAAACTCCTCATGTCTCGCATTGAAATCCCCAGCCACCACCAGGCCCCCATCCCCAGCTCATCTCACACATTCCCTGAAAAGTTTCCCAAACCTCTGCCTCCCATACTTTGGGCTGTTGTACACATTACACAAACAAACACCACTCTTGCCAAACACCACCTCCAAGGCCAGAAACTCCACATTCTTCTCCCCCTCCAACTTCCCTTCCACCACCGGCAACCCCCGTCTAACCAACGTACAAACACCCCTCCTACCCCCCTTTGACACTACCTTCACCCCATAGGCCACGTATCCCGAAAGCCCCACATCATTCGGCCCCACCTCCTGTAACATAATGACATCCGGCTTCTCCTCTGCCGCCTGCACATATTGCTGAAGCACCGCCTTCCTGCCCTTGTATCCATTGCAATTCCAAACCCAAACCTTAACTACTTCTTCCATTGTGTTAAGAACGACTCAATCCCCATGACAACCCTTGCCACCTCATCCAACTTCTCATTCACCTTCCTCAACCCTCCCTCCTGCCGCACCACCCTCTCATTCAAATCTATTATCTGCTTCTCCATTCCCCACACATCACTACCACCTCCACCCCCCGCACTCTTTCTCTTAGCCGGTGGCGCCCCCAGATGAGAAGGCTCCCCCTCCGCCGCAATCTTCTCCATCTTAGCCGCCAATTGCTTAATAACCCCGGTGAGCTCCTCAACCTTCTCCATCAGCCCTTTGTTCTCCTTCCTCAGCTCCGTGATCTCCCCGGCCTGCCGCCTATTATCCACCCTGAGCTTTTCCATCTCCTCATCATCCGACTTCACCTGTGCGCATGACACCTGTCTTTCCTCCCCTCTGCTCCTACTCCTCGACCTACTATCCCCCCTTTCCCTCGAAACCGACCTGGACCCTCCCAAGTCCGGAAAATCTTCTCCCCTCAGAGCCCCTGCACCGGAAAGGGAGCCCCCTCTCGACTCATGATCCAACTCTTTACGTTCCCACCACCTTTTCCGTACAATATACGGTGTGCGGAACCTGTTCCTACACACCCTATCCCCGGTCACGTGTTGTCCCCCACATAGCTTGCACCTAGGGGTGCACTCGTGCTCCTGTTGCCCACTAACCCCACACCCCATACACCGCTTCATCTCCGGGGTAGGGCAGACATCCGCGCGATGTCCTACCCTCCCACACACAAAACAGACCTCAAAATGCTTCCTATACAAAGAACATCTCAAAACTCCTCCACCATAATACGCTTGTCTTGGCACCACTTCACCTTCAAAGACCACAATGACCGTAGCCGACGATCCAATGCGCTGTGTCGCCCTCGCAGTCGGATTCCTCGGGCCCACCACGTTCCTGTCAATGTCCTCCGCCGAATGCTCCAACGGCACACCTCTGATGACTCCCTTCGTCGTCCCATACGGAGCCGCCACGTACGCCTTCGTCTTGAAGCTCTTCCCTTCCACCACCAACACCTCCACGTTCGCATATCTCCTAGCCCGCTGTTCATCCTCAGTGCACACCACCACAATGTTCTGTTGAACATTCGGGCATAACGTATCCTTGCCCATATCCTACATCTCCACACGCGCCGCCTTGCCAATCGCACACTTCACTTTCACGATAGACACCCAGGACAGATCCAGACCTCCTCTTGGCCTCATGATCACCTGAATGGCCTCCCGGGGCAATACCCTCGGCATCTTGGCTCCCCTCTCTATTCTCTCTGTCACCCGCCTGGCCACATGGGAATTAGGTCTAGCCTCCGCAGAGCCGTCCGATCTTCCATTCGTGCGCACTTTCATCCAACCCGCACAATCCTCCGGATCCAATTCTTCTCCGGGCACTTCCACGACCATATTCCCAGCATTCCGGCCGACATCAGCCTCCATGCCGTCCCCTTGCACCTCCGTCGCCACCACGCCGGTGTTAGGCCTACTTTCCCGTACTCGGTTAGGCCTAACTGCCCCCGCCTCGCCGTCACCACCTTTCCAAGTCCGTAAAGTCCCAATAAATCGATGGAATGACTCACCACCGATATCGATGAGTTCCTCTCGACGAGCCGGACACTTTGACCCCACTTTCAAGAAAATAGAGCCAGAAACACCGCACAAATGAGCACAGTAACGCGGAGCCGACGCGACACACGTCCGCCTCCGACCACCGCTCGCAGCGCCCTCCAGTGAAGATTGGTGTTGTAGCGCACCAACCCTTTGCGTACCCGTTGGTTTGGCGCAGTGCCTCGACGGACGCTTTCCTGTCTTTGCAACCGCCTGTTAAAAGTGTTTCAAATGGGAGCAGCGAAAAGCTCAAAATGGTTGGCGTTAACATATGATTGATTGTTTGTAATCGATTAAAGGAAAATAGTAATTGAATTAGAGCGAACGTTACCCCAAAAACAATTAATTGAAGCGTTTAAGAAGTTACATTACAATAACTAGAAATCAGTTACTTGTAACTCGTTACGTACAAATCTGAAAACCACTGACCCGATTTCGGCCAAGGTAAGAAAGGATGTCTTTTCACGTTGTAGATCCCGAATCTACATGGTGGGACCAAGCGGGATGGATAGACTGGGACATCGCCGCTCCTGCGATTTACCAGCCGCCTGTTTACAAATTGCACCAGGCGTCAAAGTACTGGTCCCTCGGAACCGCCAGGGTCCGCTGCGTAGATAAGGGCCCCAAAATAATGTAAAATACATAGTTTTCTTTCGTTGCCTTTTTAGAGCGGAAGTGGTTATTGGGAACTTTTCCCGGTCATGAACAAACGTCAGGAACAAACGTCAGGAACAAACGTCAGGATCAAGCATCATGAAACGGCCTCAAGAACGAGCGTTACACAATTCAGTTTTCCCGCTAACTTGAGCAGGGAAATTGACATCGTGAGTCGAAGTCACGTGACTCTACCACCCCATCGAGCTTCTTATTTAAATTTAACTCGAAAAGCACAATAGAAAGTTCGAGGGGGAGGGAAGGAAGAGGGTGGTAAAGGGAGGCAGATAGGGGAAGAGGTGCACCGTATAAGGGTGAAGGGACTACTTGGAGATGGAAGGAAAGGAAGATGGATGAGGAGGGGGAATTAAATGTATACATATATATTCCTTCTTTTAAAGTGCCTTTGATTTGTGGCGGACAGATTCTGTGCTTCCTTGTTTGCTTTTTTCAGCATAACGAAACTGGTGTAATTGTTTCTCTTTAAATAAATGCTTAGGGTCCTGGTAAACTTTTACGAACACATAATACGTCGTCCACCGACGAAAATAACCCTGGAGAAGGGGAAAAACAGGGAAAAAGGACAAACACCAATCTCACAACAAAGCTAGCTGGTTAGTGCGCGACCGAAGAAAAACGCCTAGTCCGTGTATCGAACCCGGGACCTCTCCATTTCCAGTGAAGCGATCCACCAACTGAGCTAACCAGGGGTTATACATCAGTAGAGCAAACAGGTTTTATCAGCTGCCACCTATCTAACCCCTGCTTAGCTCAGTTGGTGGAGGCCTCCATTTGAAATTCAGAGGTCCCGGGTTCGGCACCCGGACCACGAGGACTTTTTCGCTCGCAGACCGGTCACCTAGCTGTGTTTTGAAGATTTCTGTTTGTCCTTTCTCCCTCTTCTTCCCCTTCTCCTTGGATTATTTTCGTCATTCTTGTCCAGCTCGCTTGAACCTTCGCAGTTAATTGCATTACGAACATATACGTCTCCGTTAAGTTTCGGGATTTAAATAGCCCGCTACACTTAGCAGCAAACCAGGCCCGCTAAATTTAGCGGCGAAAGAAGTTCGCATTGGCCCATCACATCTCCTTGAACCCCCCCCCCCCCTCTTATCTCAGCCAAAAATAAACGCAAAAGTTTGGTATTAAATTGTAAATTGAGCGCTAGACACCAGAAATATCACCCTCAATGTTTGCCAGCCGCGCGTCTGCCTTCACGATGGTGTCGGAAGCTTCGATGCTATATTTTCGGCCAGTTCCAGCTAAGCAGGCCGTGGCTCCCAAATATCTCATTATCGGTCAACCACTAATCCGATGGCCGCATTAGATGATCACGAAGCCAAAGAAAGAATAAGCTAGCAAAAAACCGCAAACTTAACAAGCAACGTCCTCCGTTTCTTAAGGCGTCATTGACCATTGGGTGAAATTAAAGGAAACTCAACCCCCCTCCCCTCCCCCTCAATTGGACTTGCTGCTTTGATTCTGGAGCTGCACTTAAAGGCAAGCAAAAGGGCCAACCTACAGAGCCTTTCTTCTGCCGAGATGAAAACCGGTTCCTGTGTTTCCTTCCCTGCATTCCTTTTCGAGCTATTCTCTCCTCTTCTCCCTACAGGAAAAGGTCTCTGAGGCAGTTCTCGCAGAAAAGAGAAAGGTCTCGTTTTTTCACGGAAGGCTGAAATTGTAGGAGAGTTTCCCACTTTCTGGCCCCTCGTCGGCCTTTGAGATTTTTCTTTTTTATTTATGAAAAACTGTGCTAGCTTGAATGAAAGTCCTTAAAAAATTAAGTTAGTAACAATATATATATATATATATATATATATATATATATATATATTGTTACTATTAAAATATATATATACGCGCTGCTAAATATATATTTAGCAGCGCGTTGTAAATATAAATTTCGATACAGCCGCACCAGTGGACTCTTTCCAAAACCGACGCGCCCCATCGCGGCGAAATACCACGCAGTGCACTCTGGGAGCTAGTTGGCCACTCAGTTTTGGTTTCGACTGCGCAGTTTCATCTCATGCTATCACGCCGTGACCGAACGCGCTGCTTGCGTTTTCGATGATCTGACTTTTCACGAACATACCTTACACTCATTCTCGAGCGATTCAAAACGAAGACCGGGGCACTTTCCTTGGTTCCCGAAACACCGGATATTGTGCGTGCGTATGCAAATTAACGTATCGTGGCTTAGTCACCTCACCCCACGAGTGCGTGTTTGAGTTCAATTTCAATAATCCCGTCTAGTGCCAGTGAACTAAAGCTGAAATTTGTTCATCTGGAGCCTTACACGTATTTTGTTTGCCAAACGTCCGGTTCTTGTTACTTCATTGGGCGAAAAGCAAGCCGCATCCTCACAGGGTATCAAAGTTGAACCCAGCGTTTACGCATGAACTTTTAAGGAAACGTAATAAATTCGACCTCACTACTGCACAGTAGTTACTATGAGGTCTTCCTCGTGTCATCATATATCTCCCACTCAAATTTTATGCTGATAGAAGATTAACTTTTCGCAAACGCTGAGATCGGCTAGCTACAACGGAGGCCTTAACAAGCGTCCCCTAATCCTCGCTAAGCCTTTTTGGACAAGCTTTTACTGACGCCCAAGATCTGTGCCTGAGCGGTGTGTCTAAAATTATCTCGGCATACTCAGGTAAGAAGAAAGCAGACACATAACAAATATTATGGCCATTAGCAACCGTCAAACGCGCTTCGAATCCGTTCGGTTGGCGCACCCATCTGGCGCACTTCCGGCGAACGGTGCGACATTCTTCACACAAGTGCTTGACTTTTGCTTTCTTAAAACAATCTGTATGTGCGAGTTTGCCTATATGATTGCAGGATAACTTTATGCGCGTACGCGATGTTGAATATTAGTGGAATGCAAGCGGGTGAGGACTTCACTTCGTGCAGTGCTGCGGGTCACTACAGATAAAAGATAAGGAGTGTGTTACAATTGAGCTTTTCAATGGCGCCTCCTAGTTTTACCTCGCATACTCAGGCATGTTAAGAAAAACACTAATTGAAAAAAGTAATATTTCGTCCATGGACGCAGGAAACAAAAAACTGCCTGATCAACAACACTAATGTAAAGGCGCGAGCTCGATGTATCCATGTTGCTACAGCTTGTTGATTCGTAGACAAGCAAGATCCCCGAGCTTCGCAGGGTCGAGATTCCCAGCACTGGCTCGTCCAAATAGCTCGGTTGGAACGCAAGCAGGAAGGCTCAAGTACAAAAATACAGCAAGCATGTGTTAAGACAAGCTATACATCTCAGGCTTGTGCTAAAGCTTCGAGGTCTGGCCATTTAGATTAGTTTAGAGAATACAAACGACGCTCTCGGGACCAGGAAACATGAGATACCGGCCGTTAGTAGTCCACGCTCTGTGTATAATCTCTTGTCGACGTGTCGATCGAAACCGAAACCATGCCACCCTCCTCCCTGGCCAACTAGTTCCCAGAGTGCAATGCGCGCCGTGTTGCATGCAGGACTTTGTGCAAGTAGTCTATTGCGAGGCGTCGAGCGCAGGAGAGCATGAGAGCGGAGAGAAAAACTAGCAGAAGTGACGTCATCGGCAACGTCTATTCACCCTCGCCCTTCATAGCTCGGCCATGACGACGATAACGTGGCGATATTTTGAACAAATATGAGGTAGGGTAAATGTCTTACTGCACGTTTTTCTCTTACAGAAGCTGCTGACGTTTAATTCTGCCTTTTGTGAAATTCAATAATAGACTTTAAGGCACAAAAGCTGCATAATTCTGTTCCCTACTCATATTTTTTATGTGCTTCAATTATGTTTTAATTCCTACTTCTCAAGCAACTAGAATGAGCCCAGTGAAACCAA